GGGAAATGGATGGCTGTTCCCTATCTTAGGGGTATGGAGAGAGTAAGTAGAGTCACCCTCCTAGAAACCATGGCGAGGGGGTGTAGTAAATTTTAGTGTTAATTAAGGGTTGACTTTTCAATCTGATATTCTCTCTCTCTCACACCCTGGCAGAATAGCAGAGGGGAGTTGGAAAGTCAAAAGACTGACTAAAAAACACAGTTTGGCCCCCAAATCCATTAATTAAAAAAAAAATTCAATCTCATGATTTTTGGGTTCTCATGATTTTTGATGGTCATGTAGTTGGCAATAGCTGATATGGAGTTTTTGTAAAAAGCCTATGCAAGGATACAACCTAACTTTGGGCAGTTGTTGGAGTGACTTATCAGTCCGTGTCCCTTCAGAGAGACGGCTATTTTAAACTTTCTGATCTTCAGGGTCTTTTCCCTTGATGGTTTTACACTCAGTCCAAGGGAAGAGTCATTGAAAAAAAATGAATAAGAGAAACGCGTCTCAAAATGTCATCCATCTGAAGGCTGTTGTAGCTTCTGGACTGTTGAGAACACTGAGAGATGGCAACTGTTTTGAAAAAGGGCTGTTCTTTGTGAAATTCTCTGTGGCAGACCATTGTATCCTTTAGCCTTTCCTGAAAGAGAAACTTTCAGTTATGAAAAGTAATGGGGAAAATGGCCATTAATAAGAAAAAAAATCAAATGTGGCCTATGTGTAACATTTCAGTTAGTTTTGTATGAGAAATTTGAAAAGTCTTTTATTCTGTTACTGAGATTATTAGAGGCAAAGGTCTGACACTGGGTACTTAATTTCTTAAAGGACCTATTTTAAATTATTTTTCATTCCTAAGTAATTAAAAGATTTACTTGTAAACTGTCAAAAATCATTCTGTATGTGAACTGCTATAATTTTAAAGAGGATATGCTTTGTTTTTCTGTCCATAACAAACCTGTATGCTTCCTTTATGTGCTAGAATCAACTCAGTCTTAACTATGGAGTCAGTATTGATGCCATAATTAATTCTGTAATATTTTTTTTTTTTGGTCAGAGGAACTGGGTATGAATATTTATTTTTGATTCTTTAACATACTATCATAGTAGAGACTGGGAACATTTTATAATCCAGGGCCGGGGCCTCCTCTTTATTGGTGTTTGTTTGTAAAATGCCAAGCATAATTAGGCCCTGATATTGAATGAGGCTTTTACAAGCAGCCATAATACAAATTATTAATAACAGTAATATTATATTAGAATTGCTGATTATTTAAAAATTTGCTATGTGTACATTTTTATAAGAAGAGATTATTTTAAAAAGAGAAAAACCTCAGTACTATAGTAATAATAATATACAAAAATAACAGTAAAAGAATCTTAAGGTTGCAATGTCAAGACCTCAATAGTTAGGAAATGCCAGAATTAAGGTTGTCTGTGATTCATTAATTTACTCTTTGTGCATATCCGTTATGATAATCTGCAATTATACCACCTCATTCACTATACACCTTCTAACTTCTACAAAACTGAGGCATGAGTCGTACAGACAACAGCCTTATTCAGTACACGTCCCTGATTCATTCCCTGAGCACTGTCCATTCTGTGCACTGAATGAGGCAGGGGTCTTATGGAAACAATAGTATATGATCATAATTAAAGACTTTATCATAATGGATATGTACACACACCCACAGATTAACAGGTAGCAGTTGAAGACTGTTATCTGTGCAGGCTTACCTCTAGAGATGTATGAGAGACAAACTTCGGGTTTTATAATTATTTGCTAGACAGCAGAGAAAAGTTGATACTCAGGAATCCTGGGTTCAATTCCAGTTCTGGAGGGGAATGTGCTCTCGTGTTTACAAATCCTCCAGTCTCTCTCCCCTCCCCCCCATCTGGTTCCATCACAGCCTGGCCTCAGAGCTCTTAACCTTGTCTCCAGTTCCCACTTGTCCTCATCCTCTGCTCCTGCTCCTATCCCTGCCTTCTTTAGTTCCTGCTCCTATACCCTCTACTCCATCCTTTCCCATGCTCCTATCCCTTCTTCCCTGTCTCCTGCTCCTATCTCCCCCTGTCTGCTCCTCTTCCCCTTCCTCAGCCCCTATGCCTCCGCATGTCAGTCAAGCTGCTTAATACTTCTCCACACTGCCTGTGTGCTAGCAAGGAGCATTGAGAACACAGGAGAGACGGTCTCCCTGTTCTCAGTTCTGGTGCATGCTGCCACAGTGTTCCCCAGCAATGAGGATGAGTAATTGCGATAAAAGTTCTGATCAGCCCAGGTTTTCTGGGATGGAGCATGCTCAGTGCAGATGGAATCTTTGGAGAATTGAGTGTCTGAACTCTAAGAAATCTCTTCTGAATATGTGTAAATATGTGAAACTTTTTATTCAGAGGTTAATAACTCAGTCAAATTTGGGCAGTTTTCCTTGGGATAACAAAAGACATATCTCTGATACCAGAGCAATCCCAATTGCCAGTTTTCTGCTCCAGAGCATGGAGGTACTAGACTTTCTCAATGAAATGATTGAGAGCAATTTTTAAATAGGCAAAACACATTTTTCTGTAATCTTGTTCTCAGAAACAGCTGACCCATTTTAGTTGATCAACCTGAGGCAAACACCTGGCATAGAAAATTTCAGCCTGAATGGTTGAAGTTTGGGAAAATTTAAGCAGCTGAAAACAGGGAAAAGGAAATGGAAAAGGTTAAACAACTTTAACTGTAGGCATAGCTACCAGCTCTACCTATAATAATAACTAGTAAAGTAACCGAAATATATTATGTTTGTGGCATGAAAAGGGAAAAAAGAAAAGGAATCTGTGCTTCACTCCCCTTGGCTAGATATATTTCCTAGGGTTGACTTTTCTAATTGTCTCTGTCCATTTGTTTCTCTCACTCAGCTCTACAGTATCAACCTAGTTGGTCTTTCAGTACCATCAGTTTTGATTTTTTCTGTTTTTGTTGCTGATGCTAGCTTACATAAAGTGAAATTCTTTTCACCTGTTGGTGAAACTCAGGTAGCTTGTTATGAATGAAATTCGAACCCCTTATGGCCCTTACTGTAGGCTGTTGTTGGAATACTACTATCTGGAGCTCTTGTGTGACACTTGAATGGGATTTAAGAATAATAATTGGATTTGTGCAATTTTAGATCCTGAGGTCCATCTCTTGACTTGTTTCCATCACTGTCCTTTAGACATGCTGCCACTGGGCACCTCATCCAAGCATAGTGTGACTGCAGTGTTTAAGTAGTGTGAAGGCTGCCCTGTCATCCAAGATACAGCTCGTGGTGTCCCCCTGGTGTTCCCAATATGACTTTTTGCATTGTTGGTGCAACTTAACTGATCCCACACCAGAGAAACTGTGACAGGGCAGTATTTACACAGTATACATCCTTTCCACATGTTTGCTTTCCTGATTAAATGTAGAACCTATAAAATTCAAGTGTGTTAGAAATGTACTGGAATGTCTTCTTCCATATAGGAAAGATGTTCAGGATGAATTATTGCATGTGTGCTGAATGTGTACTCACCACAGCTGCCAATGGTTCCAAGTAGTTTAAAGAGACTACAAACACTAAGCTGTTTCTATCCCTTAGTGGCAATAAGCAGGAGTACAAGATTCTTATGGCTTGTGGTCACTGCAGAATAAAAATCTTTCAAGAGTTAATAACCTATATAAGCTATAGTGACTGTTTCAAAGATTACTCCTGGGGGAATTCTGCACCACTGTGCATGAGCAGAATTTATGTCCCCCGCAGATTTCTTTGATTCCCTGCAGAAAAATTACTTTCTGATGAGGAAGCAAAGGGAAGTCACAAGAGCAGTCATGCGGCCCTCCCCAGCAGTATGTTTTGGATGCCCAGGGCAGCTGGCAGAGAGGTAAATCACTGTGGGGCAGGAGGTGGGAGTGGGGAAGACCTGGTTGGTGGCTCCTGCCCTGTGCTGGGCTGGGGAGGACAGGACTTCCTCTTCCCCTGCACAGCATCCGGGGCCTGGTCAGTCCCACCCCCAGATTTCTCCCCCGGCTGCAGGAAGCTCTGCAAACCCCACCTCTCCCCCCACTTCCTGCACCCATTGCACTTCAGCTGCAGGCGGAGGGATCCCTGTACAGGGAGCTGCTCCTCCATCTGCCCAACCCCCATGAATCCAAACCCCGTCATACCCAGATCCTCTCACCGAGCCTCACCCCCTTGCACTTAGAACCCACCCTGATGAACCCCACTCCCACTCCCCCTGCACCTGGACCACCCCAATGAGCCACCCACACCTGTATCCCCACCCCATCGAGCCCCAAGCAGTTGCACCTGGATCTCCACCCCACTGAGCCCCACTCCTCCAGAATCTGGACCCCACCACTGAGCCCCACACACCCAGACTCCCCTGATGAGCTCTATATGCCCACACCCAGAAATTCCCCCCTGCTGAGCCCCAACCACCTTCACCTGTACCCCCTACAGAGTCCCATTACCATTGTACCCAGAACCCCCCAACAAGCCTCTGTGCATCCAGATCCCCCACTGCACCCAAATTGCTCCACAGAGAACCCTCTCAACCCACACCTGGATCCCCCAACACTAAGCCCCTCCACACTTGGATCCTGTCTTGCTGAGCCAGCCTGCCCACACCTGGTGCACCTGGCATTGAGGCGCCGGCCCGGTCCTTGCACTGTGTCAGGGTTGGGTGCAGTCTCCCCGCTGAGTTTGTGTCCTAGGGGCTGGGGGGAGTAACTGTACAGTGATCTCCCACCTCTGTGCAGCTAGTGGCCTGTGCTCACCAATGCTATGCTGGAGCCTCCACATTTATTTGAGAAATAATATTTGCAGAATTTTGCAGAATTTTAAAATATTGTGTGCAGAAATTTAATTCTGTTGGCGCAGAATTTTTTGGCGCAAAATGCCCTCAGGAATAAAAGATGACCTCAGCATTTGGACTGTTTTGCCAGTGGCAGTCAGATTATTTCAGTATAAAGAAATGCAGTGCTACAATTTAATACAGTATATTTTGTCCTGTTTTAGGCTGGTACAGAGGAGTTTCCATTAAGAAGCCCAATGTAAAGGTAAGTGTAAATACAGTCTCTATTTTTAAAAATTATTTGAGAATGAGGGCTTTCCACCTTGCTGTTGCAGCCCTAACCCGTTTTCTCCATCACTCTTAAGACTCCACTTCCCTTTATAATTATTTTGGCATATATAATTGTACTGAATTCTCTTCTGAATTGATAAACATTGCTTCTTAGTCATCCCAAAGGTTCAGAGATCCTTTCCACCTGCATACATGTAGGCTGCATCCATTTTGACTTTTTTTTCAAAAAAGCCCAAATGCCTAAAAAAGCCTGTACAATTCTTAATTCAGGATTTTTTAAACAAATTTAAATAATACACTTCATCAAAATATAAATAAAAGAATTTAAAAAAAAACCTAATTGGGGGAGAATATTTTTAACGTTTTATATTTCACAGATTTTATAGTCTAATCAAGGAAATTTTGCACTAGGAGGGCTCTTTATGCTGGCTGTGAATTTTTGTGTGAGTTCATTTACGCTTAAGTATACAAAGACACAAACTATTTCCAACATTCAACTGGCTTTAGTTTAAAATACTGTAATTTTCAATGTAATTTGTAAAAGTATATTAATGAACACTAGTGTCTAATGAATTTTTTGTTTTTTCAAAAATATAACCTACATAGTGTTCAATTAATTATATTTTTCTTCTAATAAAACTCCACTAAGTTGTTGAGCATTTCATTCACTTGTGCATTTATTGTTACATTGTACACTGCATAAATCTGTGTTCACAGTTCTGACACAAGAACCGTTCAAACTTACCAGTTTCCTAGGTAACCAACACAGTGCCTCAAAAACAGACTGCATAAAGTGGGAGTAAATCAGATAAAGTAAATCCAAGCAGCATTTCCACCTTTCCAGTATTTCTGTATGGTTGAAATGTATGTGTTTGACTTTCCTGGTGAAGTCACTCTTGTTGGGAAAACCTATGGAAGAATCTGCTTCAAGTTTGTATTTCAATGGAAAGGGACTTTTCCTCCTTTATTTTTTTCCTTGAAAATTCTTCATTTTAGTACTTCAGTGAGTTTTTTTTTTAAATTGTTGAACTAGTTTATTTTTAGCTCCTGTGTATGTTGTCTGTCTGTTAGCCTTTGATCTCTGTGTGGATGGCTTGTATATTTTCTTGGTGCTGAGCAACTGTGTATTTTGAATCTTGGCATCTTTTCTAGGGATACTGTGAAAAGTAGGGAAAAGTAGCCATTTTTTTGGTATGACTGTATTTAAAATTGTGAGTGTACAACTAATTGTAGGCAAAGCTGGTAACTATGCCTGTTGTTAAAGATGCAATGCTTTCCATTATGAGACCTTGTTTTCAGTTACTTATAACTTTGCCAAACATAAACCGTTCAGACTCATATTTCCCATGTCAGTTGTTTCTCTCAGGCTGAATGTTTTTGGAAAGTTTCAGCTAAAATGTTTTAGCCATTTCTTACAACAAGGTGAGGGAAAAATACATAGTTTTGCTCACGTTAAAAAAATTCTCAACTCTTTCTTTGAGATACTCTAGCACAAGGATTCTCAAACTTTTGTACTGGTGACTCCTTTCACGTAAGAAGCCTCTGAGTGTGACCCTCCCCGTATAAATTAAAAACACTTTTTAATATATTTGAGGGGTAGCCGTGTTAGTCTGAATCTGTAAAAAGCAACAGAGGGTCCTGTGGCACCTTTAAGACTAACAGAAGTATTGGGAGCATAAGCTTTCGTGGGTAAGAACCTCACTTCTTGCATCTGAAGAAGTGAGGTTCTTACCCACGAAAGCTTATGCTCCCAATACTTCTGTTAGTCTTAAAGGTGCCACAGGACCCTCTGTTGCTTTTTAATATATTTAACACCATTATAAATGCTGGAGGCAAAGCTGGGTTTGGGGTGGAGGCTGACAGCTCGTGACCCTCCCCCCCATGTAATAACCTTAGGACCCCCTGTTTGAGAACCCCTGCTCTAGCATTTTCATGCTTTGCAGCAGATGTTTGAAATTTGGCAAAGGGGTCACTCTGGTGTCAGAGAGATCTTTTGTCCCACTGAAAATCTTCTCAAATTTGGCCAAGTTTATAAGTCCCTGGAAAATCAGTTTGGACATGATTAGTAGAGTTTTGTTAAAGGTTAGCAGTGTTATTTTCTGAAGATTCAGTCTGTACAAAATGTGCCCCACTCAGGGCCGGCTCAAGCATTTCTACCGCCACAAAAAAAAAGCCGCGATTGTGATCGGCGGCGGCAATTGGAAAAAAAAAAAAAGAGCCGCGATTGGCGGCGGCAGTTCAGCGGCAGGTCCTTCGCTCCTAGAGGGAGTGAGGGACCTGCCGCCCCCGAATTGCCATAGGTGCCGCCCCTCTCTGTTGGCCGCCCCAAGCACCTGCTTGTTAAGCTGGTGCCTGGAGCCGGCCCTGGCTCCACCACCACTACAGAGCTTCTATGTACTGGCAAGGTTGTCTGTGCCATCCTGACAGAGCGACTGAGCATGTTGTATCCTAGGACTGCAGAAGCCATGCAGGACTTTACCTGCAATTGCTCCTCCTGGCCAGCAAAGGGACACTGTGACACCAGGCACCAGAACTGTAAGAAGTAAGAGCAGGGAGACTCTCTCCTTTGCTCTCAATGCTTCTGCTTCTGTAGTGGCAGAATGGAAGAGAATGATAAAGCAAGTTGACTTGAAAGTAGAGGCTGAGGAGCAGAGGGAAGTTGTGGAAGTCAGGATGTTGAGTAGCAGGGGTGAAAATGGGAGAGAGAGGAGCAGAGAACAGAAGGGAGTTTGGGAGTGAGAATGTGAGCAGACTGGGACAGACAATATGAGCCTCAGTGGACAAAGTAAACAGAATGGAAAGTGCCTGCTTAATGAGCAGCTATTTGATACTGTTTTCTCTATTGTTTGTTGTGTGGCCCCATGGCTTATTTACTGCACACTATTGAAACCCTGCTCTGAAGACAGACTTGTTAATTTCCACATGGGGGTTTTCTATGGCACTCATCACTACGATGTCTGAGTGCTTCATCAATATGAATGAATATATTTTTACAACTCCCCCATTTTGCAGATGGGGAATTGAGGCACTGAGAGAGATTAAGGCTAAAGTATCCAGTAATTTTGGGTGCCCAATTTGAGACACCTAGAACCTGATTTTTCAGAGTATTTAGCATTTTATAGCACTTCATTTGCTTGGAGCTCAGCTTCTGATTGATTTCAGTTGCAGTAGTTAGTGCTCAGCACTTCTACAAATCAGAGTCCAGGGTCTCAAGTCAGGCACTCAGAAAATGTGGAATACTCAGTTAGTGACAACCTGTGAAAAGGTTGGTTTAAGTGACTTATTTAGCATCATATAGGATGGAGGAAAAGAATCCACATACATGGGTCATCAACAGGATTGGGACTGTTAAATACATCACACCCTCTGCCACGTGAGCTAAAGGAGTAACTCATAGCAGCCTTAGGTTGTCTTCTCTGTGTGGTCATGCAGTAGAGGGAACTTGGCACCTTTTGCCAATGGGGTTTGGAGATACTTGCTGACAGCAGGGGAATGATGAAACTTGGTAATCGGGTTCAATTCCAGGCTCTGGAAGGGAGTGTGTTCTAGTTGGCACAGTCTGTTCTGCCTTTTACACTCAAGAGTGACGCCTTCAGCCCCATCCCTGCCAACCTCTCCTTTTCCCAATTCTGTCTCGTCCCTATTGCTGGCTCCTCATTCTTCTTCGAGTGATTGCTCATGTTTTATTCCACAGTAGGTGTGCGTGCTTGCCATGTGCACCGGTGCAGGAAGTTTTCCCCTTAGCAGTACCCATAGTGGGGGAGCCCCGCTACAACCCCTGGAGTGGCGCCTCTATATCGCGCTATAAAGGGGGCTGAAGGGGAGTTCCAAAGAGGATGGAGCTCGGCTGTTCTCAGTAGTGGCAGATGACAGAACAAGGAGCAATGGTCTCAAGTTGCAGTGGGGGAGGTCCAGGTTGGATATTAGGAAACACTTTTTCACTAGGAGGGTGGTGAAGCACTGGAATGTGTTACCTAGGGAGGCGGTGGAGTCTCCTTCCTTGGAGGTTTTTAAGGCCCGGCTTGACAAAGCCCTGGCTGGGATGATTTAGTTGGGAATTGGTCCTGCTTTGAGCTGTGGGTTGGACTAGATGACCTCCTGAGGTCCCTTCCAACCCTGATAGTCTATGATTCTGTGTGCTTCCCATACCCTCAGTTCCTTCTTGCCGCCAGTGAAGGTTGTCGGAACTTGTGCTCCAGCATTGCTGCAGCGTCTATCCTTAGTAGTACGATCTTCGACCGTTAGTAGTTTCTACAGTTAGTGGGCCGAGCCCCAGGCTTCAAGTCGTGCGACTCCTGTTGCAATTCCATGCCCAGAAGCGATCCACACTCTGAGTGTCTTTGCTGTCTGGGCGAGGCTCACATAAGTGAGCGCTGCAAAATCTGTAAGTCGTTCAAGCCCCGGACTAAGCGCGAACGTGAGATCCGACTCCGCGCCCTACTTATGGAGTCGGCATTGGCCCCGGCACCGGCGCGCTGACCCGACCCGGCACCAGGCACCGTGTCCTCGGTGCGCAGTGAAGCACCGTCACCAGTCGGCACCGCTCCCCTGCCAAGAAGCAAGGCAAGACCCAGCGGTGCCGAGACAAGGACAGGGGTGAGGCCAGACTCAAGTTGGGCAGCCCACGATCCGCCCCCAGGACCGAGACCTCCGACTCGTGTTGAGCGGAGTAGTCCGGCCCCATCCGCGTGTGCCTTCTGGCGGTGAGAATCCCGTCGACACTGGAGGCAGCCCAGGCAGCACACGATATCCTCGTCCTGACGGTGCCGGGTGTGCTGCCGAGTCGTGTCCCCGGTCCCGAGAGAAGCCGCTGCTGGACGCTCACCAACCCTCCCCGGCCAGATCAGAGGTTGAGGTCCCTGCTCAGTCCGCGGGCCCTTTCCATAGCCTGCGCCAGATCTCCACTCCATTGTCGGGGTCGCCTGAGAGCAAGTCTCCAGAGTCTTCCTCGGGCCATGGGCGCCGGGACAGAAA